AGTAAAGATACAATCTTTAAGAAGCTACCTCGTAGAAATAATTAGGTCTATAGACAAATAATAATTAATACATCATAAATCTTAATGCAAAATTAACAGTTTTCTGCATCAGTTATAAAAATCAGGTGACAAACAAAATTTTATTTACTTTTTAATAATTTTCCTAAACACGATGTGTATACAAATTCCTTTAATGCTTTTACTATCACAAATTCCACTTACTTATTTCCATCACAAATGCATGAAATTTGCAGTTTAATAATTGAATAGAAACCTTGAACAAAGGTCTATGTTCTATTTAAAGTCCACGCAACGACCCTTGTTCTCGGTTTCCCTCCAATTAATCTTTCCCAGAGAGATCTGCTCTATAACGAGCTTGGAACACGTTCAAAATAATTTCAGAAAAATATTTATGTTCTAAACAGATAATACATCAGACTCAGACCTGGACAGATTTCAAATGACATTTTGAAATACTATTTCAAATAACATTTTATTTTATTTCATAATCGTTTTCATGGTTGTGATCCCTTCTGAAATAACATTATTTGAAATATTATTTCAAATAACCTGTTATTTTATTTTATAATTGTTTGAAATATTATTTCGGATAACATGTTATTTTATTTTATAATTATTTGAAATATGATTTCAAATAATTATAAAATTTCAAATAATATGTTATTTTATTTCACAATTATTTGAAATATGATTTCAAATAACATGTTAGTTTATTTCACAATTATTTGAAATAATTATTTGAGAAAATTATTTGAAAGAAATCTTGTTTGAAATTTTAAAAAAATTGTTTGAAATATTATTTCGGATAACATGTTATTTTATTTCACAATTATTTGAAATGTGATTTCAAATAACATGTTATTCTATTTCACAATTATTTGAAATAATTATTTGAGAAAATTATTTGAAAAAATTCTTTATTATTCTAAAGATTAATTTAATGTTTGAGGCTGATATTTTGTTTATCGTGTCTCCGTTACAATGCCGCAATCTCTGCTTTGGTCTCATTATATTATAAATAATAAAAAATTAATTATACGTTTTATTTAATATTGAGAATAATTTAGTACCGAAAATAACGGTCTGAAATGAATGATTTCAAATAGAATTTGCCAAGGTCTGACCACATTAAGTAATTCATTGACCCGTCGGTTATTCTGGTCACCAACATCTTCGCGCGGTGTGCGTGTTGATTTCTTGCATCCACTTCATAAAGGCAGGCCGGAGGAAATTCCCAATCAGTTGCCTTGCAGCCGAATAGAGCGTGCATTTACGCACGGAAATCCGTAGAAATAAACGGAATTGATGGCTGCGTGTATGCGTGGATTCGTGCTACGGTGCGTCGCGTCGCGGTGCAGCGTGAGTCACGCGCGATGAAACGAGTGTCGTAAAGGCCCCCTTCTCCACGAAATACATAATTAAAGTCGACTAGCTAGAAGGGAAAGAGAACTGTCTTCTGAATCAGCTGGTGAATAAACGCCTGGATTTCGGGGCTTCGCGTTAGTCATAGTTATTACGGATTTCGAGACCGAATGGTGTCGACGGTTTCTGAATGGCAGCGGCATGGGTGGAGTCGGCTTAACGTGTAAATATTGTCATAGTAACTCCTGCGGATTACAGCCAGTGCTGGGTTAAATAGTATTTGAAACGGCAAATAGCAAATACATAGATATTTTATTTCAGACCATTCATGTATTTTTGAAAGTCAAATATTTGACTTGGTTCGAAACAATGTACTTTTGAAAATCAAATATTTTATTTATTCGGAAGCATGTACTTTTGAAAATCAAATATTTTGTTTGTTCGAAAGCATATACTTTCGAAAATCAAATATTTTATTTGGTTCGGAAGAATGTACTTTTGAAAATCAAATATTTTATTTGTTCGAAAGCATGTACTTTTGAAAATCAAATATTTTATTTGTTCGAAAGAATGTATTTTTGAAAATCAAATATTTTTTTTGGTTCGAAAGAATGTACTTTTGAAGATCAAATATTTTATTTGGTTCGAAGGAATGTACTTTTGAAAATCAAATATTTTATTTGGTTCGAAAGAATGTACTTTTGAAAATCAAATATTTTATTTGTTTGAAAGCGTGTATTTTCGAAAATCAAATATTTTATTTGGTTCGAAAGAATGTACTTTTGAAGATCAAATATTTTATTTATTCGAATGCATGTACTTTCAAAAATAAAATATTTTATTTGGTTCGAAAGAATGTACTTTTGAAAATCAAATATTTTATTTGTTCGGAAAAATGTACTTTTGAAAAAATCAGATGTTTTATTTAGTTCGAGAAAATGTAGTTTTGAAAATCTAATACTTTATTTATTTGGAAAAATGTACTTTTGAAAATCAAATATTTTATTTGTTGTAAAAAATTTGTAAGATAATATTTCAAGTAGTATATCATTTGTAAAACACCGACAATATTTGTGCCATAGTTCGGAATATTTTATTCGGAATTCATTTATTATTTGATTGAGAAATAGCGTGGTTTAGAGTTTGGTTGATATGGATCGTTCATTCGTGACCTCTCTTTTTTCTTTTGTTTTTAGTAGCAGCTTGGAATTCTTGAGTACAGCCTCAGGCAATACAAGGACACGTGTGAAACATCTTTTTTTTCTTAAACTCGTTCTGTGTATCTGTTATGATAATTTGTAACACTGAAGTCTTCATTGCGACGTGGTTGCGTAACGACTACAGAGTAAATGATTGGTCGATCGTATTTAAAATGAAGAATCTATGACATTTATTACTAGGCTGCGGATTTTATGCGTTTAGAATAAAAATGAATCGATGAAACAAAAGATATTATTAAATAGTGAAGATATTATTAGAAGAATTTAATAACGTCATATTGCATTCATATTTTTTAAATTTCTGTTTCTTACACTGGATCACGACAATTTTTATTTTGCACAAAGATGCGCAATCTATTTACTGTTATCGCGTTTATTTTGAATATACCAAGATATAGATTATTAATTTTTCATATAGAGGAAAATAATAAATAGATTGCAAATATCTCCTTATGAAAAAAAAATTAATTGCACCAATTTCGAGACAAAAGAATCAAATAAAAATTAATTTCTCTCTTTCATAATTATAATAAGTTAAACGTAATGCACCGATGTTCTTAAATTCATTTGATCTATCCTTTGTTTGAAATTTTCTTCAGTCGTTTTTCCTGTAAATGCAAAAGGTCCACAAACCAGCAATGACTTTTTCAATTAGGGAAAGAAAAATTCGAATTATAAAGAGATCGTTAAAATGAGACAACGGCAGAATTTTTCCAAGAACAATGACCATTTTCTTTATATCGATAATACTTTTCTAATAGGTTATTTGAACATTGTGCAAATTTAATTTCACGTTGCGGTCTATTCCGGTCAGGTAACGGCTATCTGCGATCCAATCAAACCGTGAAATTTAAGGATTACTTTGAAATCATCGACAATCACTTTACCGACTATGTTTTCGTCGACACGAGTTCATCGACAGCATGCATTCACCGACACTACAAAATCATCGTGGAATATTTTCATCGAGACTTATTCTGTATTTCTCCGTGTCGGATCAGGGTTATATTACGTTAGGTTAGGGTAGGTCAGGTCAGCAGACTGAGTGTTGATTAAGGCATTCGTAATGCCTGTGAATGCATGCTGTCAGTGAAACTCGATGACGGTGAACTCGTGTCGACGAAGACATAGTCGGTGAAGTGATTGTCGATGATTTCAAAATAACCCGAAATTTAAGACATTAAAGGAGTCATCCCCGTGAAAAATAATCGTTCATAAAAGATACGGGATCTGAGGCCTTCGTAAATCCCCTCTTTCGAGCATCCCATATGGAAAGATTTTTAAGAAAATATGAACCGAGTGGCCAGTCTTGTCGAAACCTTCAACGGAGCCACTAGAGACGATCATTTTGTATTCTTATGGTATATGGTTTCGTTGAATTTAGTAAAACGAAAGCAAACTTTGATTTAATCTCTAATTGCTATTGTGCGGAAAGTGAGAGTAATTTTGTGTACTCCGATTAGAAGAGGACTCTTCGCGAGTGAAAGCCGGAAAACGCAACCCTGAGGCATTAATTGGTGTTTCATGAATTATTCTGTTTAACGTGGAAGTTAGGTTAACGTATACTCTTTCTACAAGGTATTATCAGCGTTACGAAATTCTGGAAGCTAGTATTATGTAAAATCGGTAATTTCCCTGCGCATACAAATGTTGAGATAAGAGAACTGCGTGTGCGCTGTGATTATTGTTTTGAGTAAACGAGAAATGTCTTTTTTATACAGGATGACCCCGAAATAGGTGATATTTCACCAACATTCTTGAACAAGAAGATATAAATTACAATCTCATTATGCATATATATAAATAAGTTTAAACGATAATTGCTAAGGAAAGTGTACCTAAAGCTTCTATAAATGAGCCGTTTATTTTGAAAGTGGCACAAGTCACTTTGTTTTTAAGGGTTTGTAATTTAAGGGTTTTAAGCGTTTTAACACGTTTAAAAATATGGATGCTAACTTTCGAGAAGATTTACTTGTATTTGTTATCTCAGGATACTGATATTTTTCTCAGTGTAAATAATTTCGTATAAACATTAAAAAATCACCACTTTTCACATTACGGTAAAGTGACTTATGCCACTTTCAAAATAAACAGCTCAAATTTCCATCGAAGAAATTCAAAAGTTTATCAAAGAATCTAATTAACTTACAAAATCTGTACATGCATCCGGTCGGACAGCAAGCTTTGCCAAGACTGTGCGAGCAGAAAATTGTAGACTTCGACCAAGAGCCGCGTAATCACAAAGGCTCGCGGAATTTTCACGTTTCGCATTCATGCCGCCTCTATCCTTAATTAGTTCATTACCCGGGGTTATTATCGTCGGCGGCCAACGACCTCCGGAGCGTGGTCGGTGTCGCAACAACGACACTAAATATGTGCTTTGTCTGTCTGTTTCAGGTGAGTCCGAAAAACCAAAACACAAGACAGTGGCTCTCCGTTCCCGCGAGCGTCTCGACGGTAAGCAAAAAACCGCACACGTTCCATTCATTTTCTTTCATTTCGTGGCTGTTTCGCCACGGTGCCGGCGAGCCCGTGTGTCCTTAATTGTCAATTAAGGAGCAACGCGACGGAATCATAATCCCGTAAATCGAGCAGCATGTTGAAAATTTCATTTGCGAACGCTTCGCTGGAGCGTGCGAGGCGACGCGCGCGCGAAGAAACGAGAAAGTTTTCTGGCTGTTTGAACGCAACAGAGACTGGCCGGCATAATTGCCGCTACGGGATTAAGTCAGTGGATCACCGGTGAAACGAACGGCACTCCTATTAGGAGATGGCGGAGAGTAGGCGAACGTGCGTGTTTCGATGCTGAATAACCACCGAGTATTTCTGCACAGTGATTCGACACGGTATTTAACGCTCGGAGAGATACTTTGGTTTAGAACGCAATATTTCAAGCTGACTTTCAAATAGGTTCTGCCGTGAAGCTGCAGATCCTTTTCAAGCCAAACTTTTGTCCACGCTTTGCACGCGTTTTTGGGCGAGTTCGCGAATTTTTTGGCAACGGAAAAGTCAAAATTCAGATTGCTCTGAACAATCAAGTGCAGCTCTGACCATTTAATTAACCCTTTGCGGTCGAAGCTATTTGAATTCGAAATCCAAAACATGATTTCTGATCTACAGTATTTCTATTTTATATAATTTATTGCGATTCATGCGTATGAAATTGAGCCTATTGGCAAGTACAATGCAATTTTAATAGTTTTTTTTTTAAGTATAAAAGAGTCTGATGCTCTTAGAATGATTTTGAAAAATAGTATACCAATTTTTAGTGGCGCCTCAGAGTCGCCATTCGAGTGCAAAGGGTTAATACTAAACCTGCGACTTTATAGCGATAAATACACCAGTTCAGTTTTTTTTATTATTATATATGCTGGGATGAAGAAATTTAACCAATCTTTTTTTATGGAAGGGAAATAATAAAACAAATAAAATGTGAAATCAGCCGCGAGCCAGCTGTAGGCCGTTGGGTCCTTTGGAAATTCCGGGTTTACGGCACCAGCATTTGCTATTGAGACTGAAAACGAAAGATTCTAAAGAACGGAAAACATGCTTTCTCAAAAATAGCTTTACTATTGCTCTTGTCATATACCGTCCGGTGGGGATCTGTACGGCCATCGTCCACGGTTCCATAAACCGATAACCGCTACACAGTAGATTATGATTGCGATTTGAGGTTTTTAAAGTATCCTTCAGATAAGATACTCTGTCTCTCAGATATACATTCTTGTCGTAAATGCGTAAGTATTCGAAGTTTAGACATCATTAGCCTGCGGATTTGTCATGCAAATGAACATTTTACAGATTCTTGAGTTTGTTTAATGCTTTTACATTTCGGTATTTCACTCATTCATTTTTATCATAAATAAATAAATTCGCAGTCTACGCGTCATTAATCGGCACCAGCGAACAAGAAAAGTAGTATGCGTTCACATATGACAACACGAGAACATTAAAAATGATGTTAATTCAATGTTCGAAGACTGTAATGCTGGACTGTACGCAAAGAAGAAAGTGTTCGAACAGCTTAATATTTCAGCAATTTAGTTCATTCGATCTAAAGAAACAATTTCGTCTTCTATTTATTCATAATTAAGTATAATTTAATTTATAAACTTTATTTACAAATTACACAAAAAAAGATTGAAAGTATGTTAAAACATCGATATATTATTCTAAAACTTATTAACCCTTAAATGCATGAATTAATGAATTTTATTTAAAAAATAGGGTTATAATTTTTCAAATGAGTGGAAATCGGGAAAAATATTAAAAAAAATTATAAGTCATATCTTATAGGGTTTTTATTGAAAAATGTTAATGATTCATTTTTGGTACACTATGCAAAATAGACATAAAAATTCTTTAGTTAGTATGACATATCTATAACAAAATTATAAACCACATGCATACCACACCAAAACAAAACCAACAAACCAATAAAGGAAGCATAGTACTAAATACATGTCGTAATTATTACCATTAATGCATGTTGTCCCATTTTTGCATCAACACGAAATAAGCCCTCCATACACATGATAGTTACGGAATATAGACAAAAGTACTAGCAAATTAATAAATAAGAGCCTTACCTTTAGAAAATATTGTTTGTTTAACGAATACACCAAAATATTTCTAAATAATCCACTTCCAAAAGTACGTAAATGAACCCGCTATCAAAAATGCGCGCCAATTGGTATAACGTCAGAAAGATACAAATATTGAAGTCAAATGTCATTATTTTAGTTAATTTTTGATAAGTCAATGGACAAAGGAATCACTGCCATTCAGCCAAATGTATCGATATCAAAACTGTTGTCGGGTATCCGCGCAAAAAGTTATTGATTCATTTTTGGGACTCTATGCATTTAAGGGTTAAACCAATTCACCTTATTGAAGAATGAATATCCATCCAGCTCTTATTTATTGCAATTGATGCACGATGATTTTGCCTTGCATAATGATCAGCAGTCCACTTATAGTTTGCAAGGCATGCCATTTAAATTTCAAATAGCCAGAGATACGGGAACGCATTTGCCGAGATTTCCGTCGATATTTACCGTCAATTCACTCAATAATGCCGCAAAAAGCCCATCTCTTCAGTAATTGTTCAACAAAAAGTTTCAATTGGGTAACTCTGATGCATCCGACAGTCGCGGGGTTAAAAACATGAGTTTGCATAAAGGTGCGCAGTCTACTTATCGCGTTATAACGTAAACGGCTGCGCGAAGTATGTTTAGCGCCAGTACCATGATGCCGCGTTTATTCTGACGACTTCAAGTGCTCGATGCACGGTAAGTAATAAACGCTTGCGTGGACAGAGTCGACTAACAGCTCGATTGTATCACGCGAGCCTCTGATTATATTCCAGCAAAAGCGACTCGTTTCGTTTGTGCCACATGCATCGGCGAGAACCGTTGTAGAATCAGTTGGATTCCTCGTAACGGGGGAAAATGACTAAAGCAATTTCATGGTAATCAAGAGACTTCAGATCTTCGTGCAGAATAAAAATTGTTCGCGTCGTTTAGAAGAAATCGAATAAAAATGTCAAAGTCCTTTCTGTTGCTAGTCGATTTAATAGCTTAAAAGTAACGCGTTCTTAAATTCTTTTAATGTTCTTGATGTTTCAAATATTATTACTAGTGCACAAAATCCGCAATTGCATGAAAAATAACGTGTTGATATCCTTAAACTTTATGATAAATGCAGAGAGAGAGAGAGAGAGAGAGAGAGAGAGAGAGAGAGAGAGAGAGAGAGAGAGAGAGAGAGAATCGGGAATTAGATTATTGTATCGGCATTCTTAAACATTTTTAAGAATCCGGTTATTTTTAAATTTGTCATAAATACATAGAATCCGGAATTAGATTATTGTATTGGCATTCTTGAATCCGTCTAAGAATCCGGTTATTTTTAAATTTGTCATAAATACATAGAATCCGGAATTAGATTATTGTATCGGCATTCTTAAACATTTTTAAGAATCCGGTTATTTTTAAATTTGTCATAAATACATAGAATCCGGAATTAGATTATTGTATTGGCATTCTTGAATCCGTCTAATAATCCTATTATTTTTAATTGTGTCATAAATGCGGAAAATCTGCAAATGTAAATAAAACATTAGAAATCTCATTGATGTATTAAAGACACCTTAATAGATATTTAAAGGTAGAACTTATGATCACAAACGAGCCAAGTTCGATGAAGCACCGCGTCGTAAAAGTTTCTCAATATGTTTTTTACTCCATTGTTTATAAATCGAGTATGGAGAAATGCATTTTTAAATAAATACCTACAGTTTAATCATTACTATCTATCATGAGAAAAATGAGTTGAGATAAATATTTAAGGAATTAAAAAATGCTGTTGCATTGTTTGTAATTCCTTCAAATTATTAAAGAAAGAAATACATATCTCTATACCTCCTGTGTATTAAAATTGGTGAAAACAATTCTTGTTTTGCATTAAAGTCCGCTCTCTAACGATTGCAAACCCTGCTCACGCGTCATAATAGACTCCAAATAAGAAGTGCAAAAATATGTGTTAATCTAATTCTATAGCATTGTTCGAAAAGTTGCTTCGTTTTTCAAAAAAATTTCGTTTCGCAATGATATCAAAAAAGCACGTGATTCAAAATTTTGCCAATAAAAAACAAGACATCTACGAGCATAAAGCAACCAGAACGACCCAATAGATAAACCATCCGTCATATTTTATTCTCAGTTAGGGTATAAAATAATAAAAACATGGAAAATTAAACTTTTCCTACAAAATAATTGAGAAATACAATATTGACGTCACTGGTGTCTCATCATCAGATTTAGTTGTTAAATAAGGTATTGTTTGAAAGCACACACAGGATTTCAAGGAACTTATTCGGCGGTTCCGCAAACAACAACTCCTCTATTCGTCTATTCCTCCGTGGTACTATTTTGATCGACGCGTTCTACGATCCACGTTTCGAATGACTTTACACCGTAATATCCAGCGACCTGAACAATGACAGTATTGTTCAGTCGCGCGTTCCCCACGGCCGGCAGCTTCTCCAAAGTAGAAACTCATCTCGCGCGGCTCCGGATGAATGTAGTCCACGTGGATTCATCATGGCGAAAAAAAAGGAAGAGACGTTGAACGAAACGGAGGCGGGATGATGGTACCGTTGACGAGGGGAAATATTGTAGCTGGTGGAGTCGATGATCTCAGCCACCCACATTCACCGTGGAGTTCTCTAGCGGCGGTGACTTATTTACCAGGCATTTATAGAAGAAATTACGGCGTGGAAAAACAGGTCCTCGGAAAAAGGGGGACAGAGAAGGGAAAACTGCAGTCGGCATTGCTTAATTATCAACGGCGAGCACTCGAAGGTGAACGGGCTCGTGTCGCGGACACATTGAATTAATTACGCTCAACGTGACTGTTGTTCTCTTGACTTAAGGATATCGATACTGTGCACTGTAGTC